TGCTATATGTTTCATCATATAATCAAGTCTTTTACCAATTGACCCATCTTCAGTGAGAGTGTTTAACTTCTGTTAAAGAATTGAAGAATATCGAGCTATTAACCTAAAATAAAACGAATAGAAAATTTATCAAAGCCGTGGGCATCCAGCAAAGGCTTAAAATATAAGCCAGCCAGCCAGCCATTCTTTTATTCATCAAGTTCAACCTCGATTGAAACCATTGTTTCATAACCAGTCAAGCGAATTCGGGATAGGTCTATTCTCTACTTTCACATCCCCATAATACTTTGCGTCTTTGGGGGGTAACCAGAGGGTAAAAACCCACTTATTTTGCTGAAGGCTGATCAGACAATGTTGAAAATACCTTGTTTAGTATCCAAAAATGAAATGAAGAAGTAAAAAACAGAAAAAGATAGAAGCTTGAAGACGTTTAACGTAAGATTTTAAACATTTTTCGTAAGTCAATACATTTTCTGTAAGACCAAAACTCTTGATGATCTGTACACGCAAAAATAACTTGGAATAAACTGATAATCAGTGTTGTACAGAYAAAAGCAGATATAGTATAAATTCAATTAAGAAACCTTTCAATTTGGGACAGTTTTTCGATTGTTAACCCCCAAAAGACGCAAGGCATTATGGGGATGTGAAAGTAGAGAATTGACCTTCGTGTTCTATGCTAAGAAAACGGCAACAGCGAAAATATAGATCTTTTATYGTTAGCAGAAGCGCTTGACTACTGTATTCTAAATAAAGTAAGAATACCTTCAATGGGCAAAGGCGTGTTTATTTAGCTATTTTTTTCAAAAATCAAAATCTCCCGGGTATCTAGTGTTTTGAAATTGGTTCCCGGGTGCCGAGAATCTAGACACTTCCAAATAAATAAAATGGGTTCGATTCCTTTTTGAATTTTCTGCGGGCGTTTTAAACAGAAAGATATAATAGTCTTAAGCTCCGTTTACACTAGCAATTTTTGCTGCGATTTTTTTGCGATATTGTTCATAATAAATAATGGTAAAGAATTTACTTGTAAAGTTTTTTTCAGGATACCACGATTTTCCTAGACGAATGTCTCTTTTGAAGGATGAGACAAAAGATTTCATGTTTCCGAAAATTGCCACAAAAATCGCAGCAAAAATCGCCGCAAAAATCGCCAGTGTAACGGGGCTTTAAAAGATAGTCCATTGTGATTTTCTGCCTCATATTTCAAGCCATTTGCAAACTGTATTACATCCGTATCATCTGTGGCTTCAAATGTACATCGTGACCGTACCATAATTGCATGGTGCAACAAAAAATGACGCTGAAGTTAGCCGGACATTCAGCCGGACATTCAGCCGGACATTCGCAGAGGTCAAGTTAGATAT